GGGAACACTTTTCAAGTTACTCCCGTTACCATACGCTTGGTACTGATAGTCAGTCGGCTGAGACATTCTGATAACTTCGAAAGATCGCTAAAAAATATATTCAATATTAAAAAATTGCAGTTTTATTTCATAAACAATAATATGATAATGAAGTTGCTAGCGGTTTAAAATATACAGAATTAATTTATCTTGTTCGATAATGTATTCATCCAATAAGGCAATTGAACACACATCGAACGTCACGTCCAATGTTTAATTTCCCGGCACGAGCCGAGAGCTAAATAAATATTGCTCAACATATAGCGAATTAAAACGTCAGTAAACGCTCACCGACACGTTTCGCGACGATATCTCCGACAATTGGTAATATAAACGAAACGTTGATACAAAAATTATTCGATATTAAATAATGATAAACGAATAACGATCGAACGTGGATTTATTGGACTTTAATGCCACTTAAATAGAATGAAACGCGAGGGAAGATTGACGGGCTCGAGTCGTTGAATTATTAAATAGGAATGATGTCAAGTGAGATGGACAGGAACGGCGGGACACTGTGCAAAGGAAAATAATCAGTCGGTGAACGTGAAACTGGGAAATACGTGATTAGACAATAAATAGAATAGGAGATCTAACAGTTTTGTACCTTCGGGCGTATTACTTATTCCTATTCACGCGAGTGCCTCCGGGAATTAAAAAACCAGACGATTTTCGACGCGTTTCGTTGGTCGAGTGTCCGCGAATTTGGCAAGCGGAAGACACGCGTATATAGGAAACGCTACAGGAATTTTCAAAAGATTACGGGAGGCCTGGGAGATCAAAAGGTTAAAACGTCATGTCCAGACCGAAACCCGTGACGTGCCGACATCTCGTACGGATTATCCCAGGCGACGGCCGGGTTTCTCACCTTACGGGCGGCGTTACCAAGGCGAGGAAGAAGCGTAGCTCAGGCCTCGGTGCACCGAGGGACGCGCATCACACTTTTTCCGGTGTAATTCGACGTTAATTGCCGAGGATACGCACCTCGTCAGCGAGACACACAACATTACGTGGCAGCCCAGTTGATCGCCGCGCCAGTTTCGCTCGCGTGGACTGATCGCGAACCACGCAGCCTCGGAATCATCGTTTATTTGCAATATTTGCATATCGTTTTGTTTACTTGGTTTCTGAACCGGAGAAGGTAGAAAGAACTTCGATCGAATTACGTGAGTTTTAATTTTTTAAATGAGTCTTTTTTTTATATAGCAGATTATGGCCGGTATTCAGAGTCGTTGCTTATTCTTAAAATCGTCTTAAGAATTTGCTATCCCTGTCTGTCCCATATTTCCAGTCCTTTGTATTTTGTAAAGGAAACGGGGACTTGAGCAAATGCTTAAGACGATTGTAAGAATAAGCAATGACTGAATACTGGCATCGAGGAGGGTTTTTGAATTACGCGCGATCAACATTCTCACTCGATTGCAGCGCTTGGCGACGAAGTGGCAACTTTTATAATTACAACTATGCACATTGCGCACTACAAGTGTTTATTGCATTCATTTATTCTTTCCAATTCCAACAACAGCCTGCAACTGCAACTGCAACAGCCCTCCATTCAAGTCCATTGTGTAGCCATTGTGTAACGAACGTCAGTAAAAGACTCAATACACCCTGTCCGTTTCTCTCTCTCTCTCTATATATATATATGTATTGCCTAGAGTTGGAGAGACTAATATATATATATATTGCCTAGAGTTGGAGAGACTAATGAGATGTTCTCTGCGATCTAAGCACAAGATTTAAGCAGTAACTTAATTAATAATAATCATCCATGGGCCGGACGATACGGAGGAATCGGTTATGAGCAAACGTGTGGAAGTTTACACTAGGTCTACGAACACACCGTACCACCTTGCGGTGTTGAATTGCTACATAAAAAAAGTAAAAAGCCTTATTGACAGAGATGCTCACGTGAATGCTAAAAATGCATATGCACTGCATCTAGCCATCTTGCTGAGACACAAAGATATCGTAAAAATCAGGTTAGCAAATAGTGCCGATGTCAACTTGAAAATGGAAAGGGGAGAGATCCATGTTGCTGTGCGAGAAAGACAAGAAGAAATTTGCAACTTGCTACTTGAAGCAGAAGTTGACGTTCACGCCAAAGACGAAATCGGACTAACGGCGTTGCATCTAGCCATTGGGGAGACACACAAAGATATCGTACAAATCCTCATAGATCAGGGTACCAATGTCAACTTGAAAACTGAACATGGCGAGACACCGCTTCATTTTGCTGCAGAAATAGGACTAGAAGAAATTTGCAGGTTGCTAATCGAGAGAGGAGCTGACGTTCATGCCAAAAACGAAATCGGACTAACGGCGTTGCATCTAGCCATTCTGGAGACACATAAAGATATCGTACAAATCCTCATAGATCAGGGTGCCGATGTCAACGTGAAAACTGAATATGGCGAGACACCGCTTCATTTTGCTGCAGAAATAGGACTAGAAGAAATTTGCAGGTTGCTAATCGAGAGAGGAGCTGACGTTCATGCCAAAGACGAAATCGGAGTAACGGCGTTGCATCTAGCCATTCGGGAGACACACAAAGATATAGTACAAATCCTCATAGATCAGGGTGCCGATGTCAACGTGAAAACTAAAGAGGGCGCGACAGCGCTCCATTGTGCTGCGCAAGTAGGATTAGTAGAAATTCGCAGGTTGCTCATTGAGAGAGGAGCTGACGTGGATGTCGAAGACAACAGTAGATTAATGGCGCTCTTTGAAGAAATTCAGGCGAGACACAAAGATATCATACAAATCCTCGTAGATCATGGTGTCGATGTCAACGTGAAAACTGGAATGGGCGAAACACCGCTTCATTTTGCTGCGCAAGTAGGACTAAACGAAACTCACAATTTACTAGCCGAGAGAGGAACTGATGTAGATGTTGAAGACAAAAGTGGAAGATCGGCACTGTACCTAGCCATTCTGAAGACACACAAAGATATCGTGCAAATCCTCGTAGATCAGGGTGCCGATGTCAAATTGAAAAGTTGGATGGGCGATACAGTGCTTCATTTTGCTGCGCAAGTAGGAGTAGAAGAAACTTGCAGGTTGCTACTCGAAAGAGGCGTTGACGTGAATGCTCAAAACAAAAAAGGAGAAACGGCACTGCACCTAGCCATTCAGATGAGACACAAAGATATAGTACAAATTCTCGTACATCAGGGCGCCGATGTCAACGGGGAAACGTCATGGGGCGACACACCGCTTCGGTGTGCTGCGCGAGAAGGACTAGAAGAAACATGCAGGTTGCTAATCGACAGAGGTGCTGACATGCATGCCCATGACGGAAGTGGAACGACAGCACTGCACCTAGCCATTCAGCAGAGGCACAAACATATCGTACAGATCCTCCTAGACCAGGGTATCGATGTCAATTTGAGAAATCAAAGGGGCGAGACACCGCTTCATTTTGCTGCGCGACTAGGACAAGAAGAAATTATCAGGTTGCTAATGTACAGAGTTGACGTTGATGTCGAAGACAAGAGTGGATTAATGGCGCTGTTTGAAGCCATTCAGAAGAGACACAAAGATATCGTACAAATCCTCGTAGATCAGGGTGCCGATGTCAAATTGAAAACTAAAACAGGCGAGACGCCTCTCCATTTTGCTGCGCAAGTAGGACTAGACGAAACTTGCAGGTTGCTAATCCAGAGAGGAGCTGACGTGCATGCCGAAGACGAAAACGGATTAAAGGCGCTGTTGGTAGCCATTCAGGAGAGACACAAAGATATCGTTCAGATCCTCGTAGATCAGGGTGCCGATGTCAA